CCAGGAGGCCGCGGCTCTCGCCCCTTGGCCGGCGCAGGCCGCCTGGAAGGCCCGACCCTGGCGGCTCGTCGGCGTCCTCCCGGCTTCTGGGAGCACCTTCAGGCTCGGGCGCTCGGGCGCAGGCGTGAGCGTGTCACGCAGAAAGCAGCTCGGTCTCCTGCGGGCCCAAACGGGGGTGCTCCAGCTGCGTCGGCCCCCGTTCCCGGAGGGGAGCGTCGTGGAGGGCGGCCGGCGAGTTCCTCCCTGGGGGGCGAGGCCTCCCCCGGGCGTGCCCTGCTCTGCGACACCACCGTCGGGGTGCTGACGCGCCTCCGCCACGGACGTCACCCTCGCGCTGCGGGCTTCCGAGTCCACCCTGGAGAACGTCCTTCTAGCCGGCTGGTCTCCGGCGGCTGACGTGCGCGGGGCGATGCCGTGCCGTCGGCCAGCCTGTCCCGGCCCCCGCCTCCCCGACCAGGCTGGCGAGGCGGAAGGTGACCGTCGCCCGTCTGTGCCGGGTCAGAGCGCGGCCTTCTCTCCACGGCTCGGAGTCAGCTGTTGGTACATCTGTCACTTGGGCGGGGGCGTGTCACGGGCTCCGGCGTTTGGATTTTCAAGCAACGTGGGGCCCTTTTTTGTGGCTTGACGCATCCGCTCGTAGCTTGATACCGGCCTTCGCCATGCCATCGGAGACGGTCGCCCACCACCACCACCACACACCATGACTTAGAAGCCCGAGTCCCGAGCAGAGAGTGATTTGCTCTCTGCCCCAGCACACCGTGACCAGTGCTGGGTCTCACGTGCACGGCTCAGTTTTTGTCACCGCCGATGTGTGGACATTGTATAAGCTGCATCGGTCCTCCTCTGTGCCTGCTTCGCAGGGCCCTTGCTTCTCTGACAGTCATAGCAGATTCCGCTGGAATCTCTACTTTCCCCGCTGCTGGGTGCTTTCTTAAAAGTTACATGGGTTACAGAAGTGGATGACTGGATGAAGAGGGCGTGGTCCGTACACGTGGCGGAGTATTACGCAGCCGTCAAAAAGACAGACGCGTGCCTTTGGCGGCCACATGGATGGAGCCGGAAGGGATCGTGCTGAGCTCTATAAGCCAGAGAGAGAGAGAAAGGAGAAAATACCGGATGGTTTCACTCGTAGCAGGAGCATAGAGGACCAGGGGGAGGAAGTAATAATAACGAACAGCTATCGAGCAGAGGCATTTTATGGGGGCCAGAGATGGGGGGGGCAGTGCACTGGAGTGTGGTGACGGCACACGGGTGACCTGGTGATGGGAAGCCCGCGGGGATGGCAGCTGAGACGGAAAGAGGCACGAAGCGATGTCAAGACAAACTATCCTGCCATTTCTAAAAAAAAGGCTCTAAAAAGCGATACTCGGGTCGTCGCGTTTCTGTGTGACGATTGAAGATGCACTGGGGTGAGATACGGGGCCCGTGAGCCCGCGTCTCGGAGAACCCCCATCTCCTTTTCCCAGCGTGCCCCTGGGGGTCCCTCCCCGGCCGGGGATGGAGCTCGTGCCGCGGGGGCCGCCGACCGCTTCACGGTGCTGCGGCTGAACCCCCCGGGGAGGCCCCCCCGCCCCCCAACCGTGGGTTTGACCTGAACTACATCGCCGCCCTTCTTTACCTCCGCTGGGGACTGTCGGACCAGACCTCCGAGAAGGACGGGTGTGGGGAGCCGCCGTCCTCGACCTGGCCGAGGGTCTTTTCACCCCGGCGGGTGGCTGGATCCGGGAGGAGCCGCCTGTCAGCGCCACGGAGTCGGTGCCGGCCGGGTCGTCCGTGCTCCTGGCAACTGGAAGACCCGATGCAGAGTCGGGG